TCTGAAGGATGGTGTCCTTTTAATTTGTGAGATCTCTCCTAGCTTCCGGTGACTAGAGTTGGAGAACGAAGTGCTGCGTGTTGCAGCTGGTGTCAGAACTGAACAAAAAAATAAGTGACACATGTGGATTTTGATTTATTTCAGATTTCCACATTGATACAAGTAGTAAAATTATGATATTCTGTGTAAAGTGGTTATAACAATGTCTAGCATTTAGTGTATGCTTAATAAATACTAGGCATTATTATTTCCTGCTCTATAAATGAAGATAGTAAAAGCTACCACCCAAAGTTGTTCTGAGAATACAGCTTACTATTAATGGATGCTCGGGTAAGTGCTTATTGAATGTTTCTTTTCCTTTCAAGAGGGAACCTCAGGGATTGGACTTTCCTGAGTGCAGTTCACTTGTGGTTTTCCATATTGATTACCCACTAAATGTGGCTTCAGGGAAAAGAGTTTTAAAATCACAGGCAATTAAGCACTAAAAACACCCAAGGAGGGATGATGGAGGCATTGGAACTGGGCCAAAGCAAAGACTCCTAGCACACTGCCTCTCTCCTCCCTTCTCCTCATCTGTTGGGAGAAGGATGGGTACAGAACACCCTTGTGGAGGGAAGGCCTGTTGGGGGAAGAACCTGTATAATTTTTATCCTGACTGGCTCTGTGGAAGTCTCTCCATTTCAGTGGTGAGGAGAAGGAAGCCTGGTGAAGGGGATGAATTCTGATGCTGCAGCACTGTATTTGGGAACCTCTAGACATTTGTTCTAAAGTCTAAGCCACTCATGGCATAGATAGAGAGGCTGCAAGATAGTGGCTTGTTCAGTATCACCAGGCTAGTTAAGAACAAAAACTTGATTAGAGGCAGGTCTTCTGGCCTAGTAAGTATAGTAGATGTGGTTCCCCCAGTCATCCCAGCTCCATGAGAATCATTCATTTGTTTAATCATTGACTCAGTTATATTATAAACTCTTCAAAAGTCTAACTTGGTATCAACTGTGGTTTTAGGCACCAGGGATACAGTGGTGAACAAGACCAAGTCTGAGCTCTCATGGATCTCTCAGATACCCCTTCTGCCACCTTCTCTAGGCAATCAGCCGTATTCCTCTAGGAAGTGGCCCTAGCCCAGGAACCCTTCCTCAAACCTGGCCTGGTGCTGAGCCCTTCCTACATGGCCTCTGAAGTTAACTCTCTTCCCCACTGCAAATCTGGATTGCATCCAAGTGCCAGAGCCTTATTCTTAAAACCAACTTGCCCACTATCACCTCTCTCATGGGCTCCCGGCTTCCCAACATTTTAAGCACAGATTCTCTCTTTCTGCCTCTAAGCCTCCAAACCTGGTTCTATTGTTCTTACTTGACAGGTGATGTGCAGGTAAATGTTTAATAACTAGCTCCTTGGGGAAAATCAACCAACCAAACAAAAAACTAAAACCCTGATTTGTGTTTGCCAATTTCTCTGGTAAATATCCCCACCGAAGTTGATTTTAAACTACCCGCATGACTTCACCAGGCATGGAATTGGGAAAGAGACGGGGACAGTCATCTCTGATGAGCCAGGGTGAGCTGAATCCAACTCTTTCATGCACTCCCTTCTCACTCACTCAGAACTGGGCCATGGAACACAGTGATGGGCCTGGCAAAGAGCATAGGGTTTAGAGTCAGATGGACAGAGTTCAAAGCCCATAGTTTCTGATTTCTACACTAGCAGTGTGCCCACGGAAAAGTTATTCTTCAGCCCCAACAGTAGAAAGACTTACACGCAGAACACCCACCCTAGGGAGATGCACCCACCTACTCTTGGGAAATATACCCCTCAGAGCAATTAGCCATGAGGCACCAGAGGGGCAGCATTCACATGGAGGGAAAGCAAGACAGAGGAGTGCATAGTTAAAAGGGGCACAGGATGGGGGTGGTCACAGGGATGGGAGGGGAGGAGAGTACATTATGGTCGGGGATGGTAATCGGGGTGCAAAATCAAATGTATGGGAACTGTTGAATGTAAAACAAACTTTGCTCTGTTAATCTGCACCCAAAGCACAATAAAAAGAAAAGATAAAGTTATTCTGCTTCTCTGAGCCTCGATATCTTCATCTGTAAAATGGAGAAAGCAGTACCAATGATGCACACAAGCTGTTGGCACCTTTCTCATCTTCACCTTTGTTCCTTTGCTCATGCTCTATTTGGGATTCCCTCCTCCACTTAAATTCCTAGGCTCTTCTTTTCTTCTTCTTTTTTTTTTTAATTGTGATTTGGGTGAAAATTTACAGAGCAAATTCACTTTCCATACAGCAGTTCACACACTTTGTCTCATGACATTGACTACAATTTACCACAATGCAACAGCTCCCCTCCCACTTCTTCCCAATAGTTACCACTTCCCTGTGTCTATCCCTCCATGCACCCTTGCCCCCTGAGCTGTCTCCCTGTGCCTAAACAGCTTTCTTTCTCCTATGATTATTCTCTCCAAAGAGTGTATCTACCTCAGGTAAATGTTCAACTCATATGCCTGTCTTTTGTTTGGCTGGAAGCCATAGGTGTGGGTTCAATTCCAGACCTGAAGGGCAGCTAGGGGCCATAGTCTCAGTGGTTCCACCAGGCTCTATCAGACCAGCAAACTTGGTCCCCCTTTTTTTTTTCCAAATGATTTTGAGTTTTGTTCCACATTGTTCTCCCTCTCTATCCAGGATCTCCTACACAGATCCTCCCCCCCAGTGGTTGACAGTAATATCCAGGCACCATCTAGTTCTTCTGGTCTCATGTTGTATAGACTGAGGATCGCATGGTGTACCAGTCACTAGGACTAATTTTTTCCATGAATCTTTGGTTTTCTTCATTTTTCTTTGCTCTGGACAAGGAGAGACCCATCATTTCATCTAGATGGCTGTTTGCAAGCTTTTAAGATCCCAGTCACTACTCACCAAAGTAGGAGGTGGAACAATGTTTTGTGTAGTATGTTATGCCAATTGAGCTCAATGTCCCCTGTGTCTATGGTCCCAAGCCCACAGGTTCAACTACTTTCTCCCTCTGGGTAGCTGGCTGTGACCAAGAAGTGACTACAACCTTGTCCCTTGTCAGCTCTACTATACACCGGGAAATGCTTACAGAACATACCAATACAATTGTAGAATCATTGTCTACCACCCCTATACATGGTCTTGGGTACACTCCTCACTGCATAGACATACCTAATAGTTCAGCTTGTCCAGCCATCTACCCACCTGTATACCCATGTTTGCCTTCACAGACAACACAGTACTATATGTGCAAAAGGGTTCGTCTTTGTTGTCTGCACCTCCCATGCACCTCTCTATGTCTTCCTCTTCCTCAATGCCGCCATGTTGATCACTCACATTTGTGCCCTTCTCTTCACCAAATCAATACTTATCTCTACCTATCTAACAGTGCTCCCTATCCTCACCTCCCATCCCTAGTAACCAACAAAGAAAATTTCCTTCCATATATAAACCATTCCCTAGGCTCTTCTTAAGTCCTGTTTCCTTCATCAAGCCTGCCCTGATTATTCCAACCCTTGATGCTCTCTCCCATCTTCATATTCCTACAGCAAGCAAGTAGTTTGCCTCTTGGCCTAGTATTTATACCAACGTGTATATGATCTAGTCATTCTGGGCATATTCTTGTCTCCCCAGCTGCTTGAGGACAAGTACTCCATCTCAGATGGCTACTGCACTCCTCAGCCCTAGTACCAATTCTTACTGACTGATTAATGATTAATAACCTGAAGATGTTATGTATTGAGCCCCCTATCATGCAAATGCAATGTGTCTCCAATCATGACTATGCAATAAAGCCAATAAAGGCTCTGGACACGGAAGCTGCAAGAGCTTCCCGGTTAATGAAAAACATTGATACATGTGGGAGGGTAGTGTACCCTTTATGGAACACAGAAGCTTCACATTGGGAACCATCCCAGGCCTCATTCCATGCATCTCATTTTTATGCGGATCCTGATTTGTACTCTTTTTGCTATAATACATCTGCAATTGTAAATATA